CGGTTCTCTGGGGTATCCACAAGCTCCTCTGTGAGCCCCATGGGGGTTTCCTCACCCCAACAATCTTCTACAGGTAGCAGGGTTTTATTTTTCAGTCTTTTCCCTGCTGAAGGGAGAGAGCGAAAGGGGGGAGAAACAGCCCTCCCTCTTTCGAACGTTCCTTCTCTCTCCTGCAGCTGCCAGCTTTGACCTTGGAGGTCTCTTATCTCTTTGCCAGAATTCTTCTGTAGCAGTTCTTTGTCCAAGCAACCAGTCCTCTAAAGTTTTTTCTTCTTCACTCTCTTACAAGAGAGAAGGGGGTCTTCAGTGCTACACCTGCCCCCAGCCCAAGCCGGGGGAGGAGGGAGGCCTTGGCCCACCTCAGAGCCCGCTGTCGTCTTTCCTACGTGGCTACCTAATTTCAACTGCGCCACCACAAGCCTTCTCTTCCGTTTTCTTAAATATGTAATTAGCAAAGGCATTACTGAGAGTTTTAATTGGCTTCTTGTCTGGAAATCCACCTGGACAAAACCATCTTCAGCCCCAGGGGCTGGCCGGCTGGGCAAAACCGTGACAGTTTGGTTTTGGTATTTTTGTTATTACTGATTTTCTGTTTGTGTAAAGTTTTTATAGACCCTGATTTTTATAGCATTAAACACTAATTTTCCGTGAAGCATTTATATCAGAGATTCTGCTTAAATTTGAATAAATTTTCATGGATGCATTTCAGTTGTCTGAGAAGGGTGATAAGACAACAAAGACAAATTTTATTTTAATAAAACCATGTTGATTTTAGTTCACTCCATGTAAAATTACTTTTTCTTAATTATTTCATTTCTGAGTTGTTTCTGAACAGTCTTGTAGTAGTTGAGACATTGTATTTTCCTACTTTTCCTCCATAAATACTTCTGATAGTAAGAAGAGTAGTAGGCTTTCTATCTTTTAGTCCTAGGTTACAACCTCTACATGAATGATTAATTGAAAATTTACTACCAAAATCTATAAATATCCAAGTTTATAGGTTTTATTGCCCTTCAGTTTGAACAAAGTAAACCTGCTTCTACATTTGATGCAGTAATTTCTATTAACTTACCTTTAGAGAACTAATTTTGTGCTATTTTATATTCCTTAGAAGAGTCAAGTTTGAATATGTTTATGGATATTTGTATTGCTGACTTTTATTTACGTAACTCACTGGTCCTTTATCTATATGAAAACCTCAGAATGGACATCAATGAAGAACTGTAGCTGAATACTATACTGCTTCTCAGGTGAAATTTTGGGAATGCACTGGAAGAGAGATGTCAAGTACAGACTAAATGCCAAATGAATTCAAAAGAAACCATAGTTTTATGGGGTCGCAGCTGGGGGCAGGGGAAGAATTTGAAAGACCACTAAAATTTCAAGGCTGCACAGCTCAAGAGAAATTCCTTTTAAAAGAATGTGGCAATCAAAAAAGAAGCACTAAGAAAAAGACTAGACTTTCTTTTATTATGAGCATAACTCTGTAAGAAATTTCATCCAGAAAATTAACTGTACCTCCAGTTAAAAACAAAGATGAGGTCAAAGGGAAACAACTCAAATAACTATTTGCTAATACAAAAAGTTAGGCATTGGTAAACAACTGCTTTCAAACCCAAACTACTCTGTGATTCTATTATTCTGTTAAAAAGAAGGAGGGGGAGGGGGAAGAAAAAAAAAAAAAAAGCCCAGCCAATCACATATTTTCTTGCAAATACATTTTCTTTGGAAATGGAAAAACAGTTGTGTAAATATGAAAAATGAAAAAAAGGTGCAAGATTTAAATTTCTACTTATAAATCTAATATTTTAACTTAGTATTAATTTACCAGTTAAATCTTTCTTATTACCTTATCATTGCTGAAGTTTTCTGTGAAGTTATAAATATACCAAGCTTAAGAGATTCACAAAATACTATGTATATTTATAATAAACTTTTAAATTTTTTTTTTAATTAATTTTTTGTTAATATGTAACACTTGCCATGTTTCTTTTGTGATTTTCTTACTTGGCTTTAAAATAACAGATGATTTTGTTAAGATTTGAAAATCTGTTAAAATTAATACTGTATCCTATCTTCCTTTTTTACTTATCAGTAAGTACTACAATTCTGTCTCAGTATAGCAGAAAATATTGCTACTGTAATAAGTGATTTATTGGTTATCATTTCTACAGCACATGAATAGTTTCCAGTACTTTTTTTCATCTGCAGTGAGAAGAGCAAATCTCTTCAAGACACTTCTAGCACAATTGTAAAAAGCCTGTAACAAGGAATTGATTTTTGAATAAGTTGTTACAGCTGTAGCTTTATCATTGCGCCAGGAGGTACAGTGTAAAATCTGTCCTTACGGTGTGCAACTAACATACCCACTCTCTGCACTCTGTCTTTTCACAGGGGGTTATATAGAAAGCATTTTGCTACTCAGAACTAAAAAAATGTAACCCTAAAGTAAAGCAGCCTCATTCTTATACTTGTTAATTTGAATCAATGTATTTTGTATTAACTTCATTATAGTATAAGGACTTGCTCTTCTTAGGTACCTGTGGTGAAGAATCACATCAATAGTGTCTCTATGGAAATCTCTGCATGTGCCAAAAAATCCTAGCAAAATTTACTTTGTGCAATATGCTACTTATATTGCACAAGAACTGGAATTTATGTAAGAACAAAATCCTACCTATTATTTTACTAGAAATTTCTGCTGTGGTGGTTCTGCAGCTTCAAGTGGTTGCTGTGTCTTTTGGTCTTCATATAGTCTTCTTTTATCAGTAGAATATGGGTTGGTCAAAAGCTTTCTACATTGGTCTTCAGTATTGGTCTTCGATATATTGTTCCTAGAAAAGCAGATTTGATCTTAAACCTTTTATGTAGAGACAGCAGCTAATTTGCCTGCCTTGTGAAACTGATCTTTTCTGTGAACAGTTCCTAAATAGAGGGAAAACTTCCAAAGGATCTGTGTGATCTGATTTAGTATTTTAAATTCATAAGGTTAAGCAGCTAGCTTTACTTACTTTAAAGCAAATATAAAAGGAGTAAGTGTCAGCTTAGTATATTTTTATAGATAATGCAGGTTTACATAGCTTTTATTGCTTCTTTTTACCCCTAATATACTGAGTAATTACAAATAAGCTATTTTGTATCTCAAAGAAATAGTATCAAAACACAAAATTTTTATTATATATTTCACTAATAATGTTTTTTTGTGTGTGCAGACCACATACAATATACTAATAAAGTTATATCCTCCAGTTGTCCCTGTCATCTAGCCACTCACTTTGCTATATAGACTGAAGATTTCTTCGTATCTCTATTTTATTTGAACATGGTTTATTATACAAACATTATCTGAACTGTACTGAAAGTATTTCACAAGTCAACTATGTAAGAAGAGAATTATTATCTTTGTAAGCAAGTTGCTCACTCAGTTTTTATTCCAAGATTTTTACTAGATAATAGGCAATATAAAATTTGTATAGACTACTTTACAACCTATGTCAAAATTTATACTGCTGACCTCTCTGTGAACTGACACTAAGCAATCTTTGCCTACCTGTCATAGAAGCCTTGTTAAACGTGTAAAGTTATCAAGTTTCGAATTAAGTTTCAATCTCAAATTTTAAATTAGTGATAAAGATCCTGCTTCTGCATACACTAGGTATATCTGGTGACTTCCATGTGCATGAACAGCCATGTTTACTCTGAAGACTGTTTGCACACGTGTTTTAATCCATGCTCAGCTGAGTGTAATGGACTACAAATTCTGACGTAAAACATCTATATTGCACTTCCATTCACTTCATATACTACTATTTGCAATGAGATTCCACTTTCGGCCTGTATCTTTCAACCCCTCTTAATCTGTTGATTGAATAACCCTAGGATCGCATTCTAACTCAAAAATTGAGACAAAGTGGATTCTTACATTGTTTCCCTGAAAATAAAAATTTCTCTGGATTTATTATATTAATACCTAATAGTTCCCAATTTAGATGTTCTGTTCTGCAAGTTAGAAGCATTACAGTATGGTGTTTATTGTTAATATCTACCTATCTTGGAAGAAAGGAGGATAGATTTACAGGCTGAGGTCAAACAAATTTTCTGCTACTTTCTAAGACAGACAGTCATCATTATTGCATACTTATTACTTATAATGGCCTCCTAGAACATGACAAGGACTAAGTCTATGACCTCTGGATTTAGATTCAAACAAGATGCATCAGCTCATTTGTCCTGTGAAATTGCCGCCAGCAGAGGACCCTCGCTGGGGTCAAAGTACCAGGTTCTGTCACTGTGGTTCATGTATCAAATAAGATTGGGAATTTCTCATACACTGAGGTAGTGTGCAATTCAAATTGGTCTGTAAATACGCACTTGTGCACAAGTGTGTAGTGAAGGATTGAACATACTGTGCAGTTAATAGGTTACAGTGTCTCTGAGAAGATTATACAATAAGCAGAAAGGACTGATTGTACAGTGAAGAAGAGGCTATGTACAAGTAGTCATTGAAATTGGGCACTAAGTACATTATATAGCAAGTTGTAACCCTGGTGGGTTTTTCTATTTTAAAAGGTCTTTGATATATTCTCACACTTGACTGTTTAAAAAATCAGTAATCTAATTTCATATTCTAATGAGAACTTTGTAGCTGCCATTTCACGTAGTGTTTATGGAAATATTAACTTCTACTTTTTCCTACTTTATTAAAAAACAATTAATTTGGAGTTATAAGTTCTACTGAAAAATTACCAGACATTTTCCTCATGTCATTCCAGATCAAATTAACTAAAGTAGCAAAGCCATGTTAAGAAACAGACTGGCTACCAAATTTAAACACTGCAAGCTATTTATTCAAAAGTTCATAACAGTTTACAAATTTAAATAGAAAGACTCCTAAACAAAGAAAGGAAGCCCTACTTGAGATCACAGAATCATGGAATCAACTGGGTTAGGAAAGACCTCTGAGATCATCCAGTCCAATCTTTGATCCAACACTGCTGTGGTTAAAAGACCATAGCACTGAGTGCCACATCCAGTCTCATTTTAAAAACCTCCAGGGATGGAGAATCCATCATTTCCCTAGGCAGCCCATTCCAATGTCGGATTACTCTCTCTGTAAAGAATTTCTTCCTAATATCCAACCTAAACCTCCCCTGGAAGAGCTTAAGACCACGCCCTCTTGTCTTACTGATAGCTGCCTGGGAAAAGAGATCAACCCTCACCTGGCTACAACCTCCTCTCAGGTAGTTGTAGAGAGTGATGAGGTCTCCCCTGAGCCTCCTCTTCTCGAGGCTAAACAATCCCATCTCCCTCAGCCTCTCCTCATAGGCCACTCTCAATCATCTTTGAAAGATTGTGGTAATCAGGAGAAGTGCCTGAGAACCAGAAGAAAGTCAATTTGTGTACCAGCATAGTTGTAACACTTGTTCATGGGGGAACACTTACTGCTCCTTTGCTTGTGGTTAATGGGAAATATTTCATAAAGCAGGAGGGAACATACATGAAGAAAATAGCTCTATCATTATTTTACACCAATACGTGGAACAAATCAGAGGACCACAAAAGGAGTTGTTTTCTATTCACAGTAAGTCATGGTCAACAGCAGGTGGTCCTGCTTAGTGTGGATAGAAATTAAAAGATATGTTTCCAGTGAAATGAGGAACAATTGTATCTCAGCATCCTGTTGAGAGACCAGACCTTTTCTACAGTCCAAATCAAAACTACATCACTGACAATCTATCTTTGAAACAGTGAGGATGTGCTTAGTCAGAGGTTTAATTTCTTTTTACCGTATACCATAGTCTTCAATTCAAGAACAAATTTTGCTTAATTGTTCTCCTTTTATTTCCATTCACTCTAAGCAGGAGCTTATGCCATGGACAATCACACCTTAGGGCATGTAATTTGTTTGCAGTGCAGAGGTAACTCATCTCTCTGCTTTCCCAGCTTCCCTTTCCCTCCTATCAGTAATTGTTAAAACACAGGTACATTGTAAGTGGCAAGTAAGGAGTCAAGATAGGGTCCAGAGGTGTCAGAGATTAAATGAGGAAAGATATTAAAATATGATTTTAAGATTATAAGTGTGATTAATCTTGTTCTTTGCAACAAGAACAAATGTATTTGAAGAAATGTTTGGTTTGTAGGTTTGTATTTTCTTAACCAATGCATTACATTAATAAGCCAGTACACTGAATTTTCACAGGTGTTATTACATCTCTATGGCAATAAAAAGATGTTTTCAAAAAGTTCATTTTCATAGTTCTTTCTTATGGGAACCTTAAAATAGTTACCCTCAAAATGCTCCCACTATTTATATTCGACAGGAAAAAAACCTGGCAACCTAAAGAGTCGAAGAATATTTCTTTAAAGCAATTTTTTTCACTCACACTAGAATATATGAATATCCTGAAAAACAAGCATGAAATTGTTCATTCTGAGCACTTACATATCCATTCAATTTTTGATGCTAAATCTAAATTCCAGTACATATAAAACTGTCTGGGGGAAGCAGCAATATCTAGAAACCAAAAAAAATATTTACCGCAAATGTGCCCTTTCCACTTTCCAGGTTATCTACATTACTGGAATGAGAGAAGAGAAACAGCAAATCTGCTTTAGGATATAATCATAGCTTACTCTTCTTTTAAGTAGAACATATCGTATAATAATCCAAATTCTTCATGAGTTTTTGGGACTATTTTGACCAGAGGTACATTTTGAATTATACTTTTTATGAGTATTCCATCCTAAACTTGTTCTTTGAGTACTTCAGCAGCATGAAAGATCTAATAAGTACTGTGCATGAAAAATAGATCGAATTATATTTTGAGTCCTGTCAAGACAAATTAGTACGTGAAGACAGAATAAAATCCTTCTTTTTGGGTTATGGGAATTTATTTGAGTGAGAATGCGAGCTTTGAGCAGAATATTTTGTACCTAGCAGCAACGTGAAGAGTGTGGGAATGTGCTAGAGGAGCCTCTGGATCTTTCACTCGCACCACAAGCTCCTAACCAGCACTTGGATCTGCATAGCCTCCCTGCCATGGGTCCTAGAAACATAACATCAAGTTAGAAATACATCCTAATTTCTTTTGCATGCTATGCTGAGAATCTGTACCTACATAAGGGCTTCAATTTTTCAGTCATGATAGAGAAGTCAGGTCTATAATTACATACATCAGACATGTTGTGTTTCCAACACCTTCCATGCAACACAGGCAAATAGAAGACTGTGAAGGTCTAAAAGGAGCTCTTGCTCAAGGAAGGAAAGTAGTACAAGTCTTTTGTGCTATGTTACTGAAGCTTTAAATTATTTCTAATTCTTTGCTTGGCTACCTGTGGAAGTCTTCACTTGTCTTAGAAGGATTCAGCTTCTAAGTAGAGTGAAAACATGGAAATATTCCATCATGTATTCTTATAAATTTCTCAGTACCACTTAGAGCCTCAGCTGAAAGAATGAGTCTTCCTCTTCAGTGCATAACTGTAAACATGGAAGTGCTTCTCGTATTTACAATTAAATAGTTCAGACACACAGAGGCAAACTCTAGAGCAGTGGCAAGTTTTAAGAAAAAGAGGTAGTGCCATGACAAATAGCCTAATTTCCCAAATCACTGAATGAAACCACTGGCCTAGCCCAGATTGGATGAGGTATGAGAATAAGGATGCATCACAATCATGGCTGCTTGATCAGATTAAGCAGTTGGTTCCCACAGACAGGTGAGATCAGATGAACTCCAAGATAATCTTCTGTTTGAAAATACATGACTGTGGGATGATTACCTGAAGAGATTTTAGTGAAATGGTCTATCAGCAAAACTTCAAGGTAATTATCTTGCTCTGAAATGGTTAAAACTATTGAGGTTAAACTATTATAGTTAAAACCATACAAAACTATTCTTTTTTTTTTTTTCCTGCATATGGTTTTTTATTCTGATTTCAATTCTGCAGATACAGGACACAAATTATATCCCTTTATTTTAGACCAGTCTTGGTAAATCTGTATTCTTATCATGGTTGGTTCTATAGTAAGTTTTGTCTGTTGGGACTGACAAATTCCTCTGGGAATGGTAATTATTTGGCAAGGAATGTGTGCACAACAATTGTGGTAACATTATGTTTTGTAGCACAGGAAAAAGCAAGGGAAGAATCAGTGTCTGGATACTTTGAGGATATATTGTGAGGGGAGGAATAAAAATGGAGAAAAGTTACTACTAGAAGAGGAACACACTACAAGTAAGAGATAAAGACCAAGAAACAGGGAGTTTCTGGCAGAGATGGAGGGAAAACTTAGCCTTATGAAAGGAAAAAAAAAAGATAATTTCAAATCTTAAGTAGTCAGGTTTTTAAAATATTGTTTTAATGACACTTATTTTTAAAATGCTCTTAAACAGAACAGACAAATGAAAATGGAGTGAGAATGCATTGAAAAAGGAAAGAAAATAGATATAGGTTGAAAGAATCCGGACAGACTTCACTAAGCTTTAAGGTTGACCAAACCTGGATGCAGAGGTTGCTGTCTCTCTGTTTTCATTAAGAAACAATATTTCATCAGTGTTGTATCAGGGTTATACAAGGTCCAGATTCGGCCAGCCTTACTTGGTTTCTATGTTATTAGTGGTCCCAATGGTTTCAGCACATACAGAGTAAAATATTGTACATGCATGATGGACTGATTTTAAGATATTAAAAAGTACATTTTCAAAGTAAAAATGCATGAAATATTTTTGTATAAATAATAGTCCCTCTGTATTATATGTTAAGAATATTAGACAAACTGTTATCTTGTTCTTGCACAAACACATACACTTCAAATGCTATATAATAGTGATAAGTAGAGCACAAGAGAAGGGACTGATCACTACTCTCAAAATACATATATTAAGCTATATGCTCAGTTTTTTGAGTTCACTGGTCCCTGAAGCAGAACACTGTTGTACAGTAAAATCTCTCAGCTCTGAAGGCAGATAGGTTTGGTTTTGTTGGTTTGGGGATTTTTTTTCTAGCAGTGTTTGGTTGTTTTGGTTGATTGGTTGGTTTGTTGGTTGGTCAGTTGGTCTTTTTTAAAGCCTGAAGTACTTGTCGAGGTGTCTTTGGTCAAGTGTTTAGTAAAAGGAGATAAATATTTCCATTTCCCTGGTTTAAATATCTAGGAGTGGACCATTTAATAGGCTCAGGTGAGTTGAGTAGGATTCACATAAGACTCTTTCTGTTATAATCATTAATAGAATGTGTATTTTCACTAATTGGTTTTTATTTTACTGTTTGTTTTGTTTTGTTTTTTATATAAGAGACAAACTTTAGCGTGCAAGTGTTAAGTTTCTCAATTCAGTGTCTTTGAAACTAGTTGTTGCTCTTAGTTCAGCTCCTAGCAGACCCAGCTGCCCATCATTAAAATGATCAGTTACTGTTATCCATTATTAAATCTCTGTGTGGACAGCTTGGATTGAAAGGTAAAAGGTAGGATTACTCTTATTCCTTGAAGAATCTTCCCTGCCTCAGAACTGAGGAACAGAACAGAATAAAATGGCTTGACCTATTTTGAAGCCTGATGTTTGGAAGATAAATAAAGCTGCTACAGCTATAACCCAAACTTTTATGTTACTCATGTCTTTGAACCACAGGTCAGTCATTCAGAAGTTTTGTTGAAAGAACTGGAAATTTTAACACCCAACAATCTCTTTCCTCACATCTATCACCCATAAAGTTTTTCTGTCTAGCCAGTAAGAATAATCCATACTAAAATAAGTGTTACATGAGAACTTCATTGTATGTAAGTATTATTTGTTTCACATACTGTTCTTTACTAACTGCAAAAAACTTTTGGGGGGCAGAATTATCCCAGGTTTCTGGAGTGAACTATGTACAAAGAGAATGTTTTGTGCAGAGAAAATTGTGGGCCAAGATTAGGTAAGTGAAGCATCTGCTTCTTCTTCTTGGATTTGCAGATCCTGAAATAAAACAAGCCCAGGTGTAATCTCAAAGGGAAGTCATCAAATGCCTATGCTCATGCAAATTATGAGATGAGTTCTGTCTCCTTGGGAACCTTAAAAAATAAAAGTCTGCTTGTAGAAAGAGTTAATACAGTGAATACAAATAAACAACTGACCATTTAATCCCCTGAGGATACAGCAACAGAGCAAGAAACTTTCTTGCTGCTGGGAAAGAGGAGGAATCTGTAATGAACTGGGACTCTGGTACATCATATTATTTATCCTTAAAGTACTACAGAGTACCAGGAGCTAATGTGAAATGTAACAGACAGGGTTAAAATCTTCCTAAAAGTAGGTCACTTATATCACTCTGCCGCTGACCTTACACATTTCAGTATCTGCATAAATTATCAGTATCTTCGACTTTTTATAACAGCTGATTAATTGAATTATCGACTGCTTAATGTTGCTTATTTGTTAAGATACTGTTTGTTTATTATTTCTGGCAAGAGGCTTTTAACATATATTTGATTTCAGAAAAATGGAATGCAGCCTAGAAAGCCTTGTTTACTTATGCTAACTTTACTTTTGCTCTCTGAAAAGGTGAGGTGAATACGTCACAGTTATTTTTCTCCTGCTCTGCAGTGGTGCAACAAACTGGAGTTGGAGTAACATAGGTCAGGTATAGCATGTGAAAGGAGTTCTCATAATCCCTAAGATTCCTCCCTAATTTTGGGATGTCACTGAAGAATTTTTTTTTTCTCTAGTTTTGTACGTGGAGGAGCTTATGCAGGAAGGGAACTCCTCCTCTCTCACTCAACATCATTGACAAGATCCATGACTGATGAGCTCAAGTTTGAGAAGGTCTGAGTGAAAACTGACAGAATAAGTGTAAGAGTAAAAAAGGAACTTTGCAACAGCTGATTTCAGATTTTTTTAAAAATAGACTTTTCTTTATGTGTTCCCTGAATTTCTCTATCGCAAAAAGAAATGGTTTTTATCCTAATAACTGCATGATGCAGAGACGTATGGCATGGAGTCCCTGTATCCCTTGACTTTTTTTACTGTTAACCTTCAGTTTAACACATCTGTCCCATGGTATGGAATGGAAAAATTAATGTCAGGAGCCTTCCATAAAACCTTTATTTCTGTGACTGACTATTCATTCTTTCCTTTATAAAGAAGAGAAGGCTTCAGGGTGACCTAGCTGAGGGTTTCCAGTACCTGGAGGGAGCCTGCAAGAAAGATGGAGAGAGACAACAACCCCAGCTCCCTCAGCCTCTCCTCATAGGACTTGTGTTCAGGTCCTTTCACCAGCCTGATTGCTCTTCTCTGGACCTGCTCCAGCACCTCAATATCCTTCCTGAACTGAGGGACCCAGAACTGAATAGAATACTCCAGGTGTGGCCTCACCAGGGCTGAGTACAGGGGAGAATCACTTCGCTGGAACTGTTGACCACACTGTTCCTGATCCAGGCCAGGATGCCATTGGCCTTCTTGGCCACCTGGGCACACTGCTGGCTCATGTTCAGCGTCCTGTCAATCAGCAGCCCCAGATCCCTTTCCTCCTGGCTGCTCTCCAGCCACTCTGTGCCCAGCCTGTAGCGCTGCAGGGGTTGTTGTGGTCAAAGTGCAGGACCTGGCACTTGTTGAACCTCATCCCATTGGAAACAGCCCAAGATGATCTTTAAGGTCTCATCCTACACAAACCTTTAATGATCCTGTGATTCCATGATAAATGACTGGTCATGTAACCATGGAAGGTACCTACATTAGTAGCTCTTCTACCTAGAAATGAGAAAGAGAAATTAGATCTAACCCAAGCCAGGATTTACCAAATTACTCACGTTTTGTTTAGAGAAGTAGAAAAGATTATTTGGTGCTATTAAATCTGTTAGATTTTGATATTTATTGATCTTTTTGAGTACATACATTGAAGTCTTTCTGGAGGATCAAATGAGAAACAGTTATGTTTGATTTTTAAATTTATTAATTTAACAGGCAAGATAAGGAGGATAGGATAAGAAGATAAGAAGAAGGGGTAACTTACAGATACCAGTATTCAGATTGGCAGTACAGCACAGGAGTCTTAGCCCAGTTCCTTGTAGACAGAAAGTAATCTAACCAGACTACAACACTAGCCATTTCTGTTGTAAGGTTTATTGCATGTCTCAGATGAGAACCAGAATTTGAAGTTTTTTATATTCAAGTGAGTTAAAACATGCAGAATTGTTGAAATACATTTCATAATTTGTAATGGGTTTTGTGAGTGTTAACTCTAAGGAATTTACTATTACTTTACATTTTTAAGAACACTGAAGCTTTTTCTTTTTAAAATATTGTGGATTAAAGGCTCTACAGAGAGCTGAAGAGTCTGACTGTTATTTGAAGTTTTTCAATGGACCTCAGTAGGAGCAGGATCAGACCTTTCAGATTACCAAATGTTGGTGACTGGAAAAGCTCAGAGAAATAATGTTCTTAGGATGAAAGGAACAGGGAGAGTCTGTGATATTTTGCACTGGAATTTCTATTACACAAAAATGTCAGAGGGCATGAAGTACTTGCAGGAGAAAAAGAAAGAAATATAACGTCAGGTAATACTGGATCTAAAAAGCCAAATACAAAGTGTGCATGATGTAAGGACACATTTAAATCCTAAATTATTATAGAGTTTTAATGAATAGCCCTGTTAACACACTTTATAAGCTAAATAAATCTTCTTAGAATTCTTCACAAATCTCAGCTACTTTTAAAAAATTACTTTCCTTTGACAGCTATATTAACACATGGCTCTACATAAAGGAGTCCTTTTGAATAGATGCAATGTAGTATTGGGATATACATTTTAAAAAAAGAGATGAGAGGATCCAGAAATATAATCTTCTTCTTGTAATCCTGTATTAATCCATTCTGAACTGTAAAGTTTTCATTTGAATGTAGAACTCACAAAGATTCTGGCAGCAGCAGAAAAGGAGAAAGAAAATGAAAAGACTTCTGTATATAAATCCCTAGAGCTACACCTATAAAGAATTTTTGCAATCTGCAAAGAAAGGAATAGCCCCGGGAACTAATCTCTTATTGCATGGATTTCTCTCTTTTTGTTCTAACCTTGACTCTTCCACAGCCTCGGCAAGTGTGCTTCTGCCTCATGATGAACTCACTGCTGTTACTCCTGTCTCTCAGGGCATGTCTTGGCAGCATCAATTTGCTGTTTAACTAATCCCACACTGAGATCACTCAAACACTGAAAAGGGGTTTAGTTTCACTATCAGATAGACCTGCAGAGATAACAAATCAATTGACTTTGTGGCACGTGATGAAAATGCTAATGTTTAATTATCAATGCAGTTAGTGAACTTCAGACTAAGATCTGATCTAAACAGAAAGTGGATCACAGCATTTGCTTGGAACTGTGGCTCACCTTAAAAGCTAGGAGTGTCAAGAATATGTTTGCCTCTGGCATTTCTATATAAATTGGCTTAAAGAAAGTTAGCAAGGGAGAAAAATATTTTTTTTCTTCTGAACCTTGAATCAACGACAATTTCAATATTAGAAAGAGATGCAGTTTAAATCTCATAAAAGTCTGAGAGGCTGTTCCTAAGGGTAGGTAATATTCAAATTTTCAGTCTTCATCTCTCACTATTATGGACTAATGCTAAGTATTACTAGTGCTATTATTTATACTCTTTTCATAAACAAATCATCTACTTATTTGTCCAGACTGTGCAAAACACATCTAGAAACTGATGCACATTAGTGGACAGCTTTGGCAAAAATGGGCATTACAGCAGTTTTAAATTTGAAGCATTTATATATTTTTTTCTTCCGCATCTTACTTTCCTCATTCACATTTCTGGTTTTCAGAAATTTGAGATTTCCTTGAAAATATTCCATCAATTATTTTTTTTTCTCTCAGACAGGGAAATCTTTCATCTGTGGGAAACCAGATTGCAGTTCTCGGGACAGTCCTCCATCTTGTCAGGGCAGCCTGTTGTTTTGATTTCACTAAGGAGTTGTGTTCACAACCCTCACATTTTCTGTGTGCCTCTGTTAATAGCTTCTCTCAATGCTGTCTTCTATTGCTATTCTACATTCCTTCAAGGGACAGAAGACTGTAGAAAGATTCTGCTTGTATTTGCCAGTATCTTCATGTATTTTTGACTTCACAAATCACTTTTCTTCCATTCTGCAAGGTAGTTTTGATCAACTCACAAACTGTGTTCATTTTGTTATACCATGATCCAATGGAGGTGTTTGGTACAGTACCGTACCAAAAGTGGCATCTTATACTGACAAACCCATCAATTAAAAAGGAAATTTTACATCTAAAACTGCTTATTAAAGGTGTAGATTTCTATATGACATTTTTGTGCCTTTTTTTGCTGTCGCTGGAAAGATTTTTTTAAAATGATCTCTGTGTTTGTTGATAATATTCTCATATTAACACTGCTTGCTCTTCATTTCTTATAGTATCCTATTTTAATGTTTACTCAAGAGCACTGCTTTGCATTAGTTTCCAGGCTTCACAGGGGAAGACTGTGCAAGATTTCCCAGCTAATACTTTTCTCCGTCCTATTTTTCAGTTTTCTGAGTGTGGGCATTACGTATTCAGGGTTTTGATATTTTTAGGACAATTTTTCCTGCCGTTCATTTTTAGAGTTTGGCAAACAATGCTGCATTTCTAAAATTATCCCTATGCTGCTTGCTGTTCACTGATTGATCTTTTTGAGTTTTTTGAGGTTTTTTAGTACTCACTTTCTGTTTCTGATATTTGCACTTGATGCTCCTTTCATTAGACCTTTTGTATTCTACAGTTTTCTTGGTTACAAGGATTTAGCTGACCCTATGAATTTAGAACTTTAATGAATAATTTAATTCTACTGTAAACTTTTCATATATATTAATAAGAATAAGTATGCACACTGTTTTCCAGAATTGAGTCGTTGCTGGTGCATAAAATAGAAATGGGGTGCATAGCTTGAATCACAAAAAATCCTTCAAACCCTTGCTGCATCTTATTCATGTAGGCCCCACTGTATTTTTCTTTGCTTGGTGACTTGAAACTGCTGAATAAGAAAACAAAATTTGGTTCTACAGCTGCAACACTTTTATGAACATGACTAGTGTTTTACTTATTATAAATATATAAATAATATCTATAAAAAATGACATATTATATATATAAATAATATATATATAAATTACAAAATTTTCTTATTTATCTAATTTTAAGAGGTCAGAAATTTCCATGATAGAGCGTGTGTGTTTCTTAGTTCAGTAATATTATGTCCTTTTGATAACTATATTTATAACTGTATTATTTACAAGACTACATGAAATAGAGTAGAAGTTAATACAAAAATAAAAGATAAATAAATCCTATAATATTTGCCTATCCAGGCTGTTGCTGAAGATAACTAGATTATATATATATCTTTTGTCCACAGCTCATTTTGGTATGAATATATTTATTATTTATAAATATTAACAGAAAAGTGCAGTATTGTGAAGGAAAAAAAAATCGTATGTATTTATAAAAGCTTGCTTTCATTCACTTTTTGTTCGTCTTCATCCCAACAATGACTTTATTAAAACACTGAGTTCTCATAAAAGGGGAATAAAAACAGGCATTTGAACAGATGGGCTTAATAAAGATTCTGTAGTAGATCTGCCACAAATGGTTGAGCCGTCACTAAAGCAGGGCTAAGATATGACTGAGAATAAAGAACTTTCAAATGTTTTGTGCTCTCAGTGAAGAAGTTATAGATTAAAAGACAAAGGTTGTGATGTAAATGTACATAATCCTAAGGGGACACATAATAGAACCTTACTGTGAAAGGTAACTTCACTTTTGTCCAAGGTCATAAAATTACAGTGTGCTGCAGTTGGAAAACAGCATATCCTGTGTTGGTTGTGGTGTTTTTGGTTTTGTTTGTTTGTTTTGTTTTGTTTGTTTGTTTGTTTCCTTTTGTTTTTGTTTTGGTTTGGTTTGGTTTTTAAAAAAATGTATTATCATTTCTAGTTGAGATTTTTTTTTCCTCTTTTTCATCAAAAAATTTCAAAAAACCCATGTAGTTTACAATGTCACCAAAAATAATGTTATTAAAGCTTTAAATTTTCATAGTTGTCCCTCTTATGAATCTTTGTGCAAGCTTGGAAGAAGTTACTGTTATCATTCTTTCTCTGCCAAAGACTGTTTTCTTCCCAATAATGCATAGAAAAATTGAAAGAAGTATTTATAACACCATGGTTGGAGGGGTAAATCACTTCAAATGTAGCTACTGGGTAAAAAGTGTCACAATGAAGACAATTTTTTTTTTTTTTAAATAACCACAATGTGTTGATAGAATTAAATCGAAATTTTCCTGTTGCCTCATACCTACTGAAAGATGAAATTCAGCTCATTTACACATTTAAACGTTGGTTATATTCCTGACGCTTGCTGTGTTTCCATACTCAGGAAAGTATACAAGAAACATCATGTA